GTACTTTAAAGTGTATAAATAAGTTACCCGGGCTATTGATTTACACTAGCCAATCAGACGAATTTCAGCCCATGAGCCATAATCCCGACGTGACAATTTAATATTTAAAGATTAGTAATCACACTAACAAGACTTTAAATTTTAATTGTCACATTGCGTGATGTCAGTATTATGGCCTGTCGAGATTTTGGATGTTGGTATATAGAACCCAATATTATGTTTGGATTATGAAGACTTAGTTGTGCGGCAAGTAGAAATTTTAGAACGGAGCTAAACCTCCGTTTACGTGACCCTCTATCCGACACGTGAGAATTATTCCAAAGAATCCTCTAGAAAAATCGGGAAACTTTAGTATACATAAAGCAATTGAGCTATCTCTTCACAAAATTTTCTCAAGCAATAATCGTTAAAATGGCAAATTACTACGAAATTTTAGGCCTTGATGTCAATGCAACAGAAGATGATATTCGTAAAGCTTATAGACGTCAAGGTATTTTGCGATTTATGTTTGCTGGCTCGTATTATTGTTCTCTTTCCGTTTATAACGATTACGATCTTTCGTAATTCAAGCTTTGATATGGCATCCCGATAAGAATGTCCAAAATCGTGAAGAGGCTGAAGCCAAATTTAAACAGATCGCGGAGGCCTATGAAATATTAAGCGACGGTACAATCCTCTGCTAATTTTTATGTCCATTAACTTTGTCGGGACGAATTAATTAATTAGTATGCTCTTGTACTATTAGCCGAAAAAAGGAGAATATACGACCAATACGGCGAAGAAGGCCTCAAAAATGGCGGTCCCACTTATGAACACCGTCCATTCCACGTATGAATTCATTTTTTGATTTTGATTTTTTGATTTTATTTTTAATTTACTAAATTTATCTTGCCTAATTTATTAGTTTCACGATCCTCAAGAAATATTTCGTCAGTTCTTTTCTGCGTTCCCAAATAATGATATGTTTGGTAAAAATACGAATCTTGACTAATTAATTTAGAGTCTGTAAATTTTGTATTGTCCTTATCAACATTTTTCTTTATTTCAGGTGACCCTATATTCGGTAGTATGTTTAATAATTTCCCCCCTCATCATTTTTCATCAACGTCGAGCTTTAGTAGCGGTCCACAATTTCGATCACCATTTGATTCATTTGGTTTTGGTGGATTGGGAGGTTTTCCATCTTCTTCATTTTCGATGTCAACCAATTCGTTTTCTAGTGGATCCGGTAATGGTGGGTTCGTTAAAAAATCCACCTCTACACAAATAATTAATGGGGTTAGAACAACTGTTACAAGAATTGAGGATGCAGAGGTAAGGATCTATCTGAAGGTTAAATATTCGTATTTTATCCGAATCTTAATTTTTTATTTCAATTAATTTAGGGTAATGTTACTGAAACCACTGAAACATCTGACGGCAGTAGTCAGTTTTCGACATACAATAATAATTTACAGATTCAGGATGGAGGTCTATCCTATTCTATGAATAGACAACAACAGTATCAGCAGCAGCCGTATCAGCAAGAATATCACAGCCGGGATGTTGGTAACACAGGTAGCAATTTCTGTTTAATCGATGTCTTTATAATGACTATTGTTACGTTTGCTCATTTTCCATTTTGTCTTTAGATGACCATCTTAAGGAACATAATAAACACGGAAAATTCCATAATATCTTTCATCGTAAAAAATAGACTACATTATATATAATCTGCATTCAAAGTTAATCCCTATATGAACTATTGGTAATTTGTTTCTTAATAAAAATTACAACTTCACTAATTTCTACGTAGTCGTTTGTTGTCTTATTATAACTTTACATTCTATATACATGTTGTGCCTCAAATTAACTACGTAATGATTGTTTGACCAGATTAAGCCTAAACCATAGCTTAATCCTGACCCTAACTCAGGCCAAAGCGACATCTGACGCAAGCGTTAATCTGAGGCACAACACATATACTATGTTCGCCAAAATTTTTAAATATCGAAATATTGGATATATGTATGCATATACTGCATATTGTATTTTGGGTTGGTAATCGACTATAAATTAATCAAACCTAGCTTTCGCTGCAGTTTTATTAGTGGATTTCCAACTTGGTCGTCATGTATACAATCCTTTTAAAATTTAACCTGGTCACCAAACAGAAAAAGCGGGCTATACATATGGACTAATTTGATTGGAAGTATAAAAAATTATAACTAAAGTACTAAAAGTGCAGTCAGACCTCGATATAATCACCAGATTGGGAAACAAACATTTGGTGATTATAAAAATGTGTGATTATATTAAGATCAAATTTTATATGTTTTATAATGTTTAGGATTAAGAAATAGTGTGACTAATAAGGTTGTGACTATATCAAGAGTGATTATCACAAGGTCTGACTGTATGTTATTAAAATTGTTAATTATTGTCACAGATTAAAATGAAATCTGATCAAAATGAAATTGAGGACCTTTCATGCCCACCCTTAGAGCCTATAAAACCTACATATACTCATTTATTAATAAACTTAACCCTAAACCATACTTCTAATGCTAAAAAGAACCCCAAAAAATGTTTCTCAAAAATTTTTAAATTTTTCTTAAAAAACAGAAAAATTTCATTTTGATCAGATTTTATTTTAATCTATAACAATAATTGCTTAACTTTTATTCAATTTGTGTTTTTTGACAAGTGATTTAAGCATATTTTTTAGTTGCAATTTACGTTTTGAAAGGTATAGCATATTATATTTAATTATGAGATATATAAGAAGTATTTTTCAAAACTACACTTTTAGATTTATAAAAGTTAATTGAAATAAACATATATCTTTTTAGTGCTTTTAAATTTTTATTTACAATAATTGAATTGAGACAAATACGTATTTTTTTAACAAAAGCAAAGCTTTAAAACTTAAAACTAACTTGTAACTCACAATAACAGTTTTAAATTATTATAAATTAATTTATCTACAAATGAACAAAGATAAATAATCATTTGCAGATTTAAATAAATCATTGAAAATTGATCTAAATAATGCAACAGTTTTATATAATCATGATTAATGAAATATTTTTTTAAAGTTTTATTTTAACTAGAATTAATTCATCACAAATATATTTTTATTTAGTTAAAGTATAAAAACAACAAAAACAAAGCCTTAAAAAGTTTTAGTACTCAAACTAACTTAATAATCTATAATTAAATTAATATACAATTTAAGAGAAGCTATTTTTTTAAAGTTACAGTTTTAAATTTTTATAAACAAAGGTCAATTTATTACAAAAACCTTTTCTTTTTATTAGAACCACGCAACATAATAACAAAAGCAAACATTTTGTTAAAGAAAAGTTCTAAAGTGCCTAATTAATTAAAAATCTAAAATCGTAATTTTTTTATTATATCATAATAATTATTTTTTATAAAATTGCTAGAAGAAAATGGTTAATATATGAGGCAAAGCTATTTTTTTGTATATAGTTTTTGCTAATAAATATGTTTCGATTTTTCTAATTCTATTTTATATATAAAATCTAACTATATCATTAATTATTATTGTATCTCACATGATTTGATTAATAGTATATGCAGAAATCTAATATAACACATTTATTTTTTTATTTTTTATTTTTTTAACTTAGCTTTTTTGAGACTAGGGTTTTATTTAAGTATAGTTAAGTGGAGAGCTCACAGCTATAGCTTCAAAAGAATTCTATATATTAGAGTGTGCATTTTAGCATTGTTACAAGTAGACTGTAGTCTTCTTAATACAGTACAAGTAACAAAGCACACAGCTATAGAGCTTCATTGCGAGATTATAGTGGTGTAGAAGTGGAATATTACTTCACTAAGGGCAGTTTGTGAAAAGTATATAGTTAAAGAAAGATATATTTTATTTACAGTATATAAGATTTTAATTACAAAAAAGAATTCTATAACCAAAGAGGGTTTCTGTATCTACTTGAGTCTATCTAAAGATGATTCGAACTAACTGACAGAAAGGTAGAAAAGCCAGGGTTTATATATCTTTTCCTAAACTATCTAAAACTAATAGAAATAATAAAAAACAGTAGAAACAGTAGAAATGGTAGAAATAGTAGAAACAGTAGAAATGGTAAAAACAGTAAGAACGGTAAAAACGGTTACCATTCTATCAGTTTCTAATACTATTGTAATATAATCAATTTTATTAGTAGATATTTTATTAGTTAAATTTATATTATTATATTTTATTAGTAAATTT